GCGCATATCGTGATTATCGATATTGGGCACATCCTGAAGGGATTCCAGCAAAAAACTAGCTTCCCATGGAAAATGTCCAATCCAAAACAGATCCCATGTCCATGAGTTTTTGGTATGTGATTCACATTTTACTGAATTTTGATTATTTTACTGGACGTTGATTTAAGTTGGATTAATTCGTTCAGATGTAAATGATGTAAACATTGATGCGTAAAAATGTCTAGGAGTTTATTAGAATTTCCATTAGCATTACATAATAAATAAAAGTAAAGGAGTATATCTAATAACATACGTAAACTTTTGTTATTAATAATAATTCAATCATTTTATTAGCCTTCATTGAATCATAAATCTGCGTTACATAGGTTATTTTTGTATATATAATAGTTAAGGTATATACGCAAAGTGTTACTGATATCAATACCATACAATAACTAGGAAGCCACAGGGAAGACGGAAACACGCCAAGTGTGTAAGTAGTTATATAGACTTATAGCAATTTAAATTGAATAATATACGTAGGTAACTACCACGAGCTATTTTGTATAATACAATATATTATCATTAGCGTAGCAGAAGGGCAATGGGGACAGTTTCCGCTAGGCAAATTGAGCAATAGATTTTTATTTTTGCGGCAGTGAAAGAGATAAATAAACTTGTTATGAATTTGGTTCTGTAAACGATAACGCTTTTGGTTTTCTTTATGTTTTATTTTTTTGTATTAGACTAATATTAATATAATAATACAGGGTGTTTCAAAAAAGGTAACACTGTCTCTAGGAGAGGTAAGCAAAAAATACACTACCGAGCATAAAATTAGAGTCACCCCGTAATTTGAATTTAGTTTAGAAATTATTATTCTGTTTTAACTATTTTCAGTTGTAACATAGTTTACTAACGGATTTCTTAAAGAAAATAACGTTTTTGTCGTTTAAAGTTTATTAAAAATAATGGAAATGAAGAATTTTCTTTGATATATTAAATATTGAAAAAGGGACAATTTCAATTTGATGTGCTTTTTGAAGCAGTCATCACTAGCTGTTGTAATCCTGTCTCGACCTGAACCAGGTCTTCCAGTAAGCAGACCGGTCTCTTCTTACCGTTGGCGTACTCTTTGTACACTCGAGAGACTAAAGGTCGTGGCATATTATCATACACTTTGCGTTTTCCGGTACATAGCGTTTCGGGTCGAGCAAATGGACTGCTCGTTCACATTTTCATACATAGAACGTTTCAGTTTGATGCGGTTTGGACTGCGCGTTCACATTTTCATACATACAACGTTTCAGTTTAATGCGGTAAAGATGTGTTTATCGCTTTTCGCGTCAAAAATATGTGCAATTGCGCTTCTACTTGATGATGAAGAAAGAAAAACTGTAGTGAAAAGAAGGTTTGGAGTATATCCAATGTTAAGAGAAAGGAAAAAGGAAGGTGAATACTGGACTTTATACAAAGAATTAATTCATGACGATGAAAAATATTATAGATATTTTAGAATGAATAGGGTTCAGTTTGAATATATTTTAAATTTAATTACACCTTTAGTTAAAAAACAAAATACTACATTTAAAGAAGCCATAACACCTAAAGAAAAATTAGCTGTGTGTTTAAGATAAGTTAAAGCAAAACTTTCTATTAACAAAATTAACTCATTTATTTCTTAAAACTAAAGTATGAACAAACGAATCCTACTTATAAAAATTAATATTAGCAACATAAATTTTTATATACAGGGTGTCCCAAAAGTAGCGGGCCGGTCGAATATTTCGCGAAATGAACATCGGATCGAAAAAACTGAAAAATACGTTATTCAATCATTTTTCACCCTCTGTAAATAAAAAAACATCAGTCGCTTTGAGAAGGGGGGGTCGATTGCCTCCATCGCCCTTTCCTGGATCCGCCACCGCATGCTTTCGTTATTAAAAACCAAATTCTCTGAAACATATTCATTAGAATTTCTGATATTGGATGCTGCAGATGTCTTTGTTGATGTTGAACATTCCAATGTCTGAGGTGAATGCATTGGCGTAATCGGGGCTGAATTATTTTTGTTAAGCTGGTCACTATAGGCATGATAGTTACCCGGATAGATGTATGGATTTCTTATCGCAGGTGGATTAGGATGAGTAATAGATTGTAGTTCTATCTCCCCGACAATTGAAGAAACTCTTGCTTTTGCCAGTGCTCTGTAATATGGTGGCATCTTTCTTACAGTTTGGGCCAAACCATAAAAAAGCGCTTCAACTTCGTCTTTTTCTTCGGATTTTAGGAGATAATCCATAACCACAGATGCTTTCATCATTTTTTTTCTTTGGCAATTGCGGAGTTTCAAATACACTTCTTTTTGGGGCTTGTTTTTCGTAGGACACCTCAACATTTAAAGATTTTTTTTCAGTCTCTACTATCTCTGAGTCGGCCTCAGCTTCAACTTGCGACTCTTCTTGTTCGGGAATTTCGATTGTAGAAATGGTAGACCTATCTTGAAGGAAAGGAAGAAGGAAGTTCATTTCTTCTTCAAACTTCCATTTTTTTGTTATAATTGCGGCCTGGTCACTCTTTGGTTTTTCGCTTTTTTTGCTGTCGCCTAAACGCTTCTCTAAGGGAATTCCATTGCTTTTTACAATCCTTAGCTGAAAAAAAAAACATTAAAAATAAAATTTTATTTTAGGTTCCTAGCTACTGGGGATTCATTCAAAACAATTTCATATAGTTTTCGACTCGAACAGTCCACGGTCAAATCAATCATTATGGATGTTACAAATGCAATTATTTCTACTATGAAATCAGAATGTATTCCTGTCCCTACTCCTCACAAGTGGCAAGAAATAGCTCAAGACTTTTGGGAATTGTGGAATTTCCCTAATTGCATTGGGACAATCGATGGGAAACATGTTCAAATAATTGCTCCAGGAAATAGTGGTTCATTATTTTTTAATTATAAGAAAACTTTTTCCATAAACCTAATGGCATTGGTGGATGCTAGGTATAAGTTCATTGCTGTAGATATAGGCAACTATGGCAAGAATAGTGACGGAGGCACTTTTCATAATTCCTATTTAAAAACATATTTAGAAAACGAAATTAAGTTAGAGGATAAACCTTTACCAGGAATGAAATTGAAGAAGCCACATGTTATTGTAGGTGATGAGGCTTTCCCCTTAAAGCCCTACTTAATGAGGCCATATTTTGCAGCTCAATGTGATGACATAGAAAAACAACATTTTAATTACCGATTATCAAGAGCTAGGAGGGTGGTAGAAACTTTGGAATCTTATCTGAAAGATTTCGAATTTATAATAGAAGAATCCAATTGAAACCAGAATTTGTAGACAAGGTGGTACTAACTACGTGCATATTACATAATTTTATTGGGGCCCATTCAGAACATTTATTAACTAATGACAAAAAAAAATGACAAGGAATTTACTAATCTGCCTAGACAGGGTGGAAATAATTCATTATTAGCATTCACAGTAAGAGGCAACTTTAAAATATTTTTTCAATCTGCTGCTGGAAAACTTCACTGGCAATAATAATTCCTATGTATTTCGTGTAATTAGTACATTTAAGACGGATTAAATATTTGTGGTTTAATTTGATACCTACTTAGCATTTTGTCCTAATTTGCGTGCGATTTCCCTCCAAATATTTTCTTTTTTATTGGCATCATGATAGCATTTATCATTGTAATTATATAAAATTTCTTGACTGCGTACAAGTTCAATTAATTTTTCTAAATCCATTTTAACACAAAGAATGTCACAAACTAATGAAAACACATGCATAAATGACAAAATAGCCTCGAAAATTATTTTTTCAAATACTCGATGAAAATCAAACAAATTCCTAAATAAACAGCGAGGGGAAAACGACGGACCCCTAATTCACATGATCCGTACCAACCGGTTACGGCCCGTTACGTAGCCGTCGGCATCAGTAAAATATTGATTTTGAATGTACTGAACGGTAACGTTAGGTGTCTGTAACGGTACCTTCCGGACAGTGTGAGTTGTTCATATTTAAAACCATTTAAATGATATTTTTCGGAAACTAAACGCTACAGGCTGGAAACGGAAAGTGTATGATAATATGCCACGACCTTTACACCAACGTTTCTCGCAGTTTCGCGCTGACCGTGGCCATCTTCTAACGCCGCCACAACAGAATTTATGCTTATTGCAATACACTGACAGTGATAACAATACACAAACAATTTACAATTGACGTTAAAACCATAGGAAACAAAAACTGTGCTGATAACAGTTTTTAGGAATTAGGCTAAGGGGCCGCTTTTTATCTCAAAGGCTTGTCGAAACAACAACGACAACAATTTTTTTTCAAGAAATACATTAGTAAACTATGTTACAACCGAAAATAGTTAAAACAAAAATAACAATTTCTAAAATAAATTCAAATTACGGGGTGACCCTAATTTTATGCTCGATAGTATAGTTGGTTGTGCTTAAACAATTTTTGTAAAGCCATCCGTTTTCGGGTGGTAAAATAACGGACGTTGAAGAAAAAAAATGTTCACATTTTTTAAGATTTTGCCGAAACTACTGGCTGTATTCTAATGAAATTTTATACGAATTTGTTTTGGAAGCTGATACATCTCATGTATTTGTTTTTATATCTGACTCTCATAGAAGGTGCTAGTTACAAGGTTCGTACCAAGTATTATTCAACATGACTTTTCTAGAGGTAGAATTATTAATCAAAATTCCAAGTGAATTTAAACATCATACAATTTTACACCAAAAAGGTACTCTTCGTGTCGAAAAAAATCACAAAATGTCACAGATGAAAAGAGTATTTCAAAATTTTCTATAAAATTATTTCAGAACATTCGTAGCACGATGTTTATAATTAATGTTTTTAAAAAATGTTGTATTCGAATTATTGTTTTAACTTATACAAAAATTCACTTTTTATTCCAGTAAATATAGTAGTACATCCTCTAATAACGAAGAATTAATATTTATATGATTTGATGTACTTACAAATTGAAAACTATTTCGATTTTGGGTTTTTCTTCTTTTCTGCGCACTTTATAAACACTTCTAAGCACTGACCATTTATATCGCAACACCACCTTATATAAATAATATATGAACATAAATTATTGCAAATAACCACAAATTTATATCACAATTTACCATAATCTTTTATGTGCTAAAGGTAAAAAAGTTAATGTGATTTATTTCTTCGTAGTTGTCTTGGTTGTATGATTGTTTTTACTTTAAATGGTTGGTTAGATACGAAAGATAAACGAGAACTTTAAACTAATTATTCAGAATATGGCGTTTGCTGTTAATATTTTTAGGTGATAATTGGATTGTTATATACATTCCATAGTCGTAGAAAGGGGATTAGGTATTCACAGAGTATTTATTAAAAATAAATTTTATTTTTTCTACCCCTGAGACTCTGCGTAAGGAAAGGGACATAACGAAGTAGGTTAGTTGACAAATCGCCAAATACAAGTCTAAATCGATACATTTGGCAACTTCTTCTACGAAGGCTATTCGTAAAATAAGGTTTTATTTTTTTTAAATAGACAGCTTTATTTTTCTTCTTAGTGTATTAAATTGTTTTAAAACTTTAAACTTAAGCTAGTTTTCTACATAAATGCCGTTTCTCTCCAAAAACTTTTAATAAGTGATAATCACTTGGTGCTAGATCTGGACTGTAAGGGGGACCGTGCGATACAACAGTCCAGATAAAAACTCTCAGCAGTTGTTCACTTTGATGTGAAACTTGAGGTCGAGAGTTGTCATTTCTATGACGTTTGTTCAATTTTAAATATAGGGGACAGTGCCCTACAGTGGCCACCTTTTTACTTTGTTGGACATAACTTTTTACTCATTAGCAATTTTGAAAAAATAATTAAACCTAGCAAAACATTCATTATTTGTTTACAAATTGCCACAGCTAATTTTGCAAAAAATTAAAAAAAAACAACCTATTTCAAAGCAACTTACTCTTTTTCAAAAATGTGGCCACTGTAGGAAAAATAGCGCCTACAAGTGGCCACCAATAGATCTAACAGTGGCCACTATTTTTAAAAAGAAAATAATGGAACTAAATCTGCTGCTTTCAACTTTTATTGCGAACTTAGAGAACAAAATAACGAAAAATAAGTCTTAAATGCCAACATCTTTGGGAAAATAAAAAATATTCATGCATAACAAGTCTTGAGGAATAAACTTTCAAGAAAACATAAAAGTGATAATTTTAAAGAAGATAAAATAATGAAAAAGTATACAAATAAAATCTTCAGTCTTCAGTTTGGTCGATTAGTTGATGTTATAAGGGTCCAAATCAATATCGAAAAAAAAGCATCTAGCTGTTCTTAATGTCCCTCCAGTATTTTTTGGTTCAGGTAGATGCAGAACGATGTCTGCCCTTTGTATCACAGAAACGTCATCAACATTTGGAAAAACGAATTTCTTTTCCCTGTATTTTCTTAAAAACGACACCATATATTCTTCATCAGGTAGCACCTCTTTGATTTGTCCAACAAAATATTTTATCGTTTTTGTGGTAGCAAACTTCACAGAACAAAACTGCTCACTTCCAAAGGTCTATCGTCATCCTCTTCTTCATCGAAATTTTCAGTAAGTGTGGACGAGGCAAACGAAATTTCCTGCTCACTCTGATCTTCATTTTCTGATGAGCAATTTTTACTAATGGAAGCTTTTTCGTAACCTTGGACTTCAGCTTTTCATCAAGTTCATCTTTAAGCTTCTGTACTGAAGAACTATCAAAGACAAATCAGAAAATAAACGCAGATAAAACATAAACTATAATATCGCAGAAGGACAACTCAGTGTCGAATGTAGAATGAAAGACTCACAAAACAATTTTTCGAAACACGAGTGCAAGGATAACAAGAAGAGGTAGACCAAGGGCTAGATGGGTAGAGGAGGTCAAGAATAGGGTTGTGAAGAGGGGTTTAGTACGGGAAGAAGTGCAAAATCAAACACATGAAAGGAAATTCTGGAGACAAGGGGAAGTATGAAATAAAACATACAACAGGTTACTTTTTGTACACACAGCATTATGCATATAACAAGGTGATTCTGTTGACACTACGGATTTTGCTAAACAAATTAGTAAACTCAATACAGTAGAACCTCGATTATCCGTCTCTCTATTAACCGTCACCTCTGTTATCCGTCAGGGTTAGGTGCAGTTATGCCACCACCGCATTTTTTTACGTAAATAATTTTTGTTCTTATTCAAGGATGTTGAATAAATTTTAATGTAAATAGGTGATGATAAAACCGTGCTTTTAGAGTTCTATTTTTATAATCGCAAGCCGAAAATAAAAACGCACAGCACAATAATTATTACGGTCAATATCTGTGTGTCACCATAATTCAGTTTGATTCAAATTCGATCATTGTTTATGTCACTTAGTCGTTTGATCAATTAGGTTTTGAAAAATGGAGCCTTCCACATCTGGAGCATCAAAAAGAAAACGTGTTGTTTTGTCAGTTGAAAAAAAAATAGAACTTTTTACAGAACTAAAGAAAGGTGTTTCTGCTGTCGCATTGAGCAAAAAGTATGATGTTCCGAAAACAACAATCAATGATTTAAAGAAAAAAGCTGAAGGAATTGAAAAGTATGCTTCGCCGGGTGAAACATCGGAAGACAACGAAAAAAAGCCACAAAATAAATCACTCAAACACGCTCTGTATTTGTGGTTCGTTCAACAGAAGAAGCGAAGGTGTTCCTTTGTCTGGACCAATTGTTGCCGAGAAAGCGTTGTTTTTCAACTTGAAATTGAATGGTGATGCTTCATTCAAAGGAAGCAGCGCGCAGCAGTTGGTTGGAATAGTTTAAAAATCGCCACAGTAAATGGGAACTGAAAATCGAAGGTTAAAAATTAAGCTCCGCAAGTATTGAAGTCGTTGAAAAATATAAAAGAACGTTTCAAGCTATAATTGATGAATATGGTTTGACACGCGATTAAGTGTACAATTCGGATGAAACTGTACATGATGTGTTCAAATGCAAGTGATGACCATCGCTTTCGTTTATTATTGATTGGTACAGCAAGAAAACACGTTGTTTTAAGGACATAAATATAAACGAGCTTTCCGTTAACTACTACGCACAACGTGATTCATGGATTGTTTTTAGGTTTTTATACCGGACGTTCGACGTATGGTGCGAAGTGACGATGGAAATATCACGTGCTCTTTTCTGCCTGCGAATACAACATCATTGGTACAGCCAATGGATCAATCGATGATTGAAACATTCAAGAGAAGATACAGAAAATTTATTCAAAACTTAGTTATGGAAGAGGAATATTCTTTGCCAGAATACTGGAAGCATACCATTTAAACACGCAGTCGACAATGCTGTGGATGCTTGGGCTGATGCTTCGGAAGTAACGTTGAAAAAAGCGTGGAATAAATTATGACCTGAATCAACTCAAGATGAAAATGCCCCTGTGATAGCATAGCGTGATACGGTTACAAATAAAGTTATGGCTGAATCAACTGACTTGTTTTCGGTGCCCTAAAGATGACATAAACGAATGGTTAATATGTGATGAGGACGCAAACGGCTATCGATTGCTGACAGATGATGAAATCGTTGAAATGGCAACCTAGGCTGATGAAATTGATTCAGAAGCTGACACAAACATTGACGAAAAAGATTTGTTTAAAGAAGCTACAGAAGCTGCATCGCATATACAATAATTCATCGAGTGGTATTATCTGCAAGAAGAAGCAAATAAGGTAGATTTGATGATTTTTTGTCGAAATTGAAGAAATTCAGCAATTGCAAAATGTGAAGTTACAATAAAACAAATTAAGCTTTCGGAATATTTTACTTCAATTGATTTGACTCTTTAATGTTCTGTTAACCGTCTTTTCGATTATCCGTCATACCCTTGGTCCGAGTGCCCTGACGGATAATCGAGGTTCCACTGTAATCTATTTTAACATGTGTTTAATTATTTAAACAAGAAACGAACACATTGAAGTTTTTCTATTTTCTATACACACGGATGTAAGTAAAATAAAAAATAAAGATTATATGTACTGCAAATAAATTCTAATGATCTAGTGACGTATATATGATTATGATTATTTAAACACTATAGACTACAGAATTAATTATAGGAGTGCTAATTTGCTCACTAGTTTACAAACAAAATAATCCAAAGCTGCGATATAGGAATAACCTAATTAACCTCTAAAAGACCATTAAAGAAAATAAATTGCAATATGCCGGGTGGATGGATATTATTTTACTAAAATGACTTTTTATTACAGTGATTTTTATGTATAAAATGCCTATTTAAGTTTAGCGCGAAAAAGTAGCAAAAAAAACGTTTAAAACATTGAGATAACATTAGGTTTGACCTCATAAGGGGTTCCCATAAGCTAACATAATCAATACAAATGTATCACACCTCGGATGAAAACAAAATATCAACAGCATAATCCATTATACATATTTGAAAGCAGACGGACATAGTGATTTAGTTTTACTTATTTAGTAGATTCTTTTAACAATTTTTCCGTAAAACTATTCAAAGAAATATCATCAATTACTTCTAAAATCATCATCGTTTTTTTTAATTCTACTTCTTAAAAATTTCTTAAAAAAGAAAAGGTTTACAATTTTAGTATTTACATTTTTTCACATAACCTCAAAACGTATGCGAAAAATTCAAATAACCGAGTTTTTTTTATTTTTTTTCTTGCACAAAAACAAAATTTTTCAAGAAATTTGGTTTTTATAGCCAAAATATGCGGACTTTTCAAAAATAAATCAAAATAAAAGGAAAAAAATAAATAAATATTTAAATAAAAAAAATTACAGTGTGTTTGGAACACACATATATATATATATATATATATATATATATATATATATATATATATATATATAATATATATATATATATATATATTTATCAAATTATTCTCGACCGTACTGTGTTAAATATTATTTGTAGTCTCAGCAATTGGTCTGTATGAAATAATACTCTATTTGTTATTTCTCAATATTTCGTCACGATTTTGTGACTTTTTCAGGAGAAAACTGTAAATTTATTATAATTATTATATGTAAACAAAATGAATATTT